AAGCTTTTGGCCCAACAGAACATGATTTGTGGCTTTGAATTTGAGTTTTGAACTTGGAAGAGCAATCTGGAGATTCCAGATTCTGCTTATCCGCTCGAGCGACAGATCTTGCACTTAAGCGACCACTCTGTGTTTTGCACCTCTGCGTATGTGACCACAAGTTCGCTCAAGCGTAAAATGCATGCTCACAGAAGTTTACCATGTTTGCAGACCGCTTGAGCGACAAGAGTTGCACTCGAGTGAAGACCTCAATTTCACACTCGAGCGATCGTCGAGCGTGCCTCGAACCGAAAAATCAAGTAACTAGTACTTTTGCAAAGTTTACAGACAGCTCGAGCAAAGGAAGTTGCGCTCGAGCGAGACCCCTGTTTCCAACATATTTGACTAAGTGTTTTCAAGTGCATTTTTAGCATCCTCATTGGATCCTAGGCATTCCTAGGCCAAGATAAAGACATAATAATGAGGATAAGACTTAGAAACACACTAAGAATGAAATAAAACAAGTTAAATATTATCCGAGTGTGTGTTCCAATGTGTGTATCTGTTATATTTGTGTAGGTCACGCGCCATTTATACGAATCGCTCGCCTTCTCTATTTTGCTACTGGAGCCATCTATGAGTAATAACTCTATAAAGTTATGTTGAACTTTAATTATTCCTGATGATATGAAATGATTAGTTTTCTGAAATGCTATGTTTGTTTGAATGAATGATTGTCCAAGTTTCTGAAATGTATTCGTGGCATCCTTAGCATCATATGATATGCATTCCTTTATCGGTCATTGGAATGCCTTATGGCCGTCCTTTATGGGTCATCGGAAACGTCTCTATGCACATAAGTCATCGAAATGCCTTATGGCTATCCCTTTATGGGTCATCAAAATGTCTTCACAACCGTCCTTTCATGGGTCATCAGATTTGATAACGCTAATGGATGTACCACGTACTATCATGTGAAATGTATGAACTTTGAACATGAATATGAATATGTTTATGAATCCGAATTCTGATTTCTGAATCTGATATGGACCAACATTCATTAAAACCTTTACTCTGTTATTATTTACTGGGCTTTTACTCACTATTAATATTATGTATGTAGGTGAGCAGGCGCGTGACCAGGCCTAAGCAGCTACATGGAGAGTTTTGTTTTGTTAGCCAGCCACCGTGCCTCCTGGGGAGGTTCCCATTTGAAAAGTCAAGTTTTGTGAATCTGTTAAGAATGGTTTGTTTTGTTTCGTTTGATTAAATGTACACTGGGCTTAGTCCCTTTTGATAATACCTATTCGGAGTTGCATAAAGTTTTAAATTATCTACCTCATGTTTGTCTGTACTGCTCAATGGACATTTTATTTTGTATATTTGCTTCCACAACCCCTCTATTTATATGATTTTTAGGTCAGAGCCCTTCGGTAACCCTAGGATTACCGGTCGGTTACGACACTAACCTATAGGGGCAGGTTTGGGTCGTGACAAGCATTGTAACCGGTTAGTAATCTTGGGATTACAGAAGGTCTCTGAACGGAATAGTACAATTAAGGGGCTAGCGGAAGCAATTGTTACAAATACAATGTCCATAGAGCTGTGTAGACGTACATGGGATAGAAAATTTTAAACTTATATTTACATATATGACGTCAACTTATATACAGATAAACCAAAATGGGTCTTAGCCCAATACATAGACAGTACAGAAACTTGTTTAGACAAAAAAAAAAAAATTCTTAAACATAATTCACCAAACTTGACCACTTCTTAATTTGGGAACCTCATCGGGAAGCACGATGGTTGGCTTCACAAAATAGAACTCCAGGCTAGCAACTTAGGCCTGGTCCCGCGCCTGATCACCTACATACATAAATAATACAGTGAGCTAGAGCCTAGTGAATAACAATAGAGTAAAGGGTTTAATGAATGATATCCATCACATATTTAAAAATCAAAGTTCATATCAGAAACAGATTCAGATTCACATACTTATACAGATTTCATAAGCAGTTATATGTGGTACATTCATTAGCTAACAAATCAGATTGCTCTTACAAACCTATGTGCATAGACAGTACCGACGACCATAAAGGTCAACATCTTTGTGCACATGTAGCCATGGTATTGTTACCCCCAGACAAGAGTCACATGAACATAAGCCACGATATTGTTCCCCCGGGTGAGGGCTACGTGCATATTGACTACGGTATTATTACCTCGGGCGAGGGCCACATGAACTAAGGATGCCACAAATACATTTTAGAAAAATGGACATTCATTCATGTTTCATAAAATAGCATTTCAAAAATAGATTATATCATTTCAGTAAGAAACTACTTATAATCGAACATAACTTTACAGAGTTGTTACTTACAGATTGTTCCAGAGGCTGAACAGGTCACTTGAACAAAACAGATCGATTAGGCGGGTGTTATCACTTGACCTACACAAACACGTGATAGATATACATTGGATACACATCACAAAAGTGTTTAACTTATCATTCTTTTTCCTTAGCGTGTGTTTATACTCTTATCCTTATTATTATAACTTAAACATGGCCTAAAAATGCCTAGGATGCAATGAGGATGCAAAACTGTACATTTAAAACACTTAGCCAAATTTTGAAAAACAGGGCAGTTTGCTCGAGAGAAGTTTTGGTCACTCGAGCCAAGTTTGAAAACAAAGGGCAACTTTGATCACTCGAGCCAACCCCCAAACTTCGCAAAACCTCTGAAAGCTTGAATTTTACGCTTGAACGGTGTGACCAAATTCTATAATTTCCAGATTTGTTCATCAAGTTCAAAACCCAACTTTAACTATCAAAACTCATCCTTTTGGGCCAAAAGTGTAGAAAAACATGTATAAACTTACAGAACAACATGGAATAAAGCTCAAATCACAAAATTAAGCCCCAAAAGCATGCCAATTCTTCAAAATTAAGTCGCAACTTTGTATGTATAGAACAAGCATGTATTTTCAAGTTCTCAACTTCCAAAGCACAATCTCTTGAAGTAAAATGGTATGAAACTTGATGAATTTCCAAAACCAAGCTAGAATGACTACATGCATATGAGAATTCTTGAAAATTAAGCTCAAAATGTAAGGAAATACACATGCATGCATGGTATGACTTAAATTCCTTCATTTCTAACTTAATTCTTATACTTGATCAAAAGTTCTTCTTAAATTCTCTTCATTAGTGACTTAGATACAAAGATTCGGAGTCAATTACTCACATAAGGTCTTCAATTGAGTTTTAATCAACAAATTCTTGAGCTCTTACAAGCCAAACTTCAATTTCCATGCTAGAATGCCAAATTCCAAACCTTTCTCACTCACGCTCTCCCTTCACACATTTTTTAGACCAAGAATGATGAGAAGAAAATGTTTGTGTCTATTTAAGGGGTCTATTTACAGGTCGAATTAAGTTAGCTTAATTAAATTGGATTAATTGTAATAAATCTTACTTATATTTAATTAAATCTAATCATTTTATTCTAATTATTTGATTTTGAATCGAATTCTAAATAAACTCACCATTAAATTCTAAAAATTCTAAATAACACATAGACTTAGTCAATTTCATGTTCGAATGTCGATAAGGCCTTCAATTCGCGTACTGAAATAGAATTTCAAACAGATATTCTTACCATAGACAGATATAAATACAATTGACACATAACACATGCAATTAACTTCGGATTTCATCTTAATTACTTGTTAGACATTCTTAATTAAGGATTATTGACTAATCACAGTTCAGGATTGTTACAGTTTTCCCCCCTTAAAGAGTTTAGCCCTCCAAACTCAAATTACCTTCATTTTGGAAGAATGTCGGGTCTAGAGGGAACAAATCTGGATATCGTCTCATCATATCTTCTTCGGTTTCCCAAGTCTCATACGTCCCTCTGTGATTTTGCCAGTCTATTTTTACTAACGAAATTTCTTTGTTTTTTAATCTTTTGATCCAACGGTTCACAATTTGGATTAGTCGTTCTTCATAAGTGAAATCATCTTTCAAAAGCATGTGTATAGGTTCAATCATATGTAACGAATCCCATAAATAATCCTGAAGCATTGAAACATGAAAGACATTGTGCATATGCTCCATGATTGGAGGTAAAGCCGCTTGATATGTCACTGGGTTGATTTTCTTTATAATTTCATACTGGCCAACGTATCGTGATGTTAGTTTGCCTTTAACTCCAAACTATGTCTGCCCTTTCATAGGAGTCACTTTGATAAATACATGGTCACCGACTTCATATTCTCGATCTCTTTTTCGAACATCCGCATAATTCTTTTGACGACTCTGTGTGGTTTTCAACCATTGCTGAATCAGTTTTACTTTCTCAGTCGTATCTTGCACAAGTTCTGGTCCCCATAACGATCTATCACCTACTTCGACCCAACAAATTAGAGATCGGCATTTACCAGATAAAGCTTTGTAAGGAGCCATCCCAATACTCGAATGATAGCTGTTATTATATATAAACTCGGCTAGAGGCAAGTACGTCTCTCAATTTCTTTGGAAATCTAACACACATATTCTTAATATATCTTCTAAAGTTTGAATGGTCCGTTCAGATTGGCTATTTGTTTGTGGATGATAAGCATTGCTTAGTCTCAATTCAGTTCCCAAAGCTTATTGTAAACTCTGCCAGAATCTTAAAGTGAACTTAGAATCTTTGTCAGATACAATAGACATCGACACCCCATGTATCATCAATGTAAATATTAGCCAATTTATCCGCATTATAAAAAGTTTTGACATGTAAGAAATGTGAGAATTTTGTCAAACGATCAACAATTACCCAAATAGAGTCCATACCCCTTGAAGAGTGAGGTAGTCCAACAATAAAGTCCATTGTGATATGCTCTCATTTCCACTCCAGTATCAGAAGCGGCTGAAGCAATCCAGCGGGTCGTTGATGTTCGACTTTCACTTGTAGGCAATGCAAACATTTGGCTACAAAATCAGCAATACACTCTTCTTTCATTCCAGGCTATTAGAAATTCTGTTTCAAATCTTTGTACATCTTCGTGTTTCCTAGATGAATAACAAATTTGGAACTGTGAGCTTCGGTCATAATACGTTTTCTCAATTCTGAACAATCCGGTACACGAAGTCTTCCTTGAAATTTCAGGATATTGCCTTCAAACACAAATCCCAGTCTCGATTTTGAATCAATCTCATCAACCATCTTCTTTAGAAATTCATCATTTAGTTGTTTTTCTTTAAGTTCTTCAATGATAACCAACTGTGCAGAAATAGCAGCTAAGACTCCACCATATTCTCGCAAGACAATCTCAATTTCATTAATCTCTAGATCATACAATAACTCTTTCTAACCTGTGAGCAAACATGCCAAATTTCCAATGGATTTTCGGCTCAAGGCATTTGCTACTGTATTGGCTATATTGGTTGTATTGGCCTTTCTTGGATGATGCAGAATCTGCAAGTCATAGTCTTTTATCAGTTCAAGCCATCTCCTATGTCTCATGTTCAGTTCTTTCAAAGTAAAAAAGTATTTCAAGCTTTTGTGCTCGATATACACCTCACAAGTCGTTCCATACAGATAATGGCGCCAAATTTTTAGTGCAAATGCCACAGCTACAAGTTTGAGATCATGGGCCGATAGTTCTTCTCATAAGGTCGGAGTTATTGAGAAGCTTAAGCAATCACTTTACCGTTTTGTATTAACACACATCCCAAGCCTTTGTACAATGCATCACTGTGAATATTAAACCCATCTGTACCATTAGACAAGGTCAGAATTGGTGCAGTTACTAATCTGGTTTTCAATTCGTGAAAAGTTGATTCTCTTTGGTCATTCCAGTCAAATTGTACATCTTTATGTGTTAACTGAGTAAGTGGTAAAGCAAGTTTGGAGAAGTCTTTTACAAATCTCCTATAATAACCGACAAGTCTTAGAAAACTCTGAACTTTTGTTACATTAGTTGGTTTTGACTAGGTCACAATGGCTTCAATTTTTTGTGGGTCAATTGATATGCCATCTTTGTTAATTACATGCCCTGAAAATTTCACATTGTCTAACCAAAATTCACATTTGGACAATTTTGCATATAATTTCTTTTCTCTCAAAGTTTGTAGTACAATTCTCAAATGATTTTCATGTTCTTCCCTGGTTTTAGAATAAATTAGATGTCACGACCCAAACCCGCCCCTGTAGGTTTAGCACCGTAACGGTCCAGTAATTCGTGAATTACCAAAGGCCCTGAACAGATTAGCAAATAATAAGGGGCTGCGGAAGTAATAATACAAAATAGACAAGGTCCAATGAGCTGTGATAACGTACATGGGACAAAATATTTCAAAACTTATATATAGATATACATAAACATGTCAGTCTAGATACACAATATTTACAAGGTATTTACAGAATGTACTTCCCAAGACTTGACTTTACAGAGCATACACAAAGACTAGCATGTATACAAAAACAGCCATGGCATTAGGCTTCGTTCGGAACCTCCTCGGGAGGCACAACAGTTGGCTGACAAAAACAGAACAGAAGGCCATCAACTCTGGCCCTGGTCATGTGCCGACTCACCTACATACATAATATAAACTGTGAGCGAAAGCCCAGTAAATAATAATAAAGTAAAGGGTTTCAATGAATGAGTTCGTACAGATTCAGAAATCATAATTCAGTTTCAATTCAAAATCATAGTTTATCCAGATCATATACAGACAGAAATCATAAGTCATGATTAAGTTTACGTGATACATCCATTAGCATTAACAGAACAGAACAGAACACATACACGTAAGGTTATGAATAACCAGTTCCATAAAGGAACCTCCGGATTCGGGCAACAAAACAGAAGCTGAGCCCCCGTGACAGGACCTCCGGTACGGGTAACAGAGTGCAGACAGAAATAAGTTCCATAAAGGAACCTCCGATACCGGGTAACAACTAACAGATATCGCATGATGCTAAGGATGTCACGAATACATATCAGAAATTGAACAATCATTAATTGTACAGAACATATCATTTCGGAAAATAGATCTTGTTTTATCACACAGAAAGTAGATACAGTTTGAACATAACTTTACTAAGTTATTACTCACAGTTGGCCTTGAAACAGACAGACGAAGCAGATTGATCACACGATACGCGGCACGTGACTTACATAACACATAACGGACAGACACTTGAAACACACATTCTAATTGCACAAAACTTATGTCGTTGGTTCTTAATGTGTTTCTAACCTTTAATCCTCATTAAAGGGCCTTAAATATGGCCTAGGAATGCCTAGGATGGAATGAGGATGCAAACATGCCTTGAAAACCATTTCCTAAATTTTGCTGAAGATAAGGTCCACGCTCGAGCGTGGATTACCCCGCTCGAGCGTGATCTTCCTCGCTCGAGTGGACTGTAAAATCGACAAAAGTACTGGATGTAAGGTTTTCATGCTCGACGGGCGCTCGACCCCTGCTCGAGCGTGAGACTCAGAGTCTCGCTCGAGCGTGGATTCCCCCGCTTGTGCGGATTACAAAACACACAAACTTCTGGGTATACGCATTTCACGCTCGAGCGCAACTATAGACGCTCGAACGGAAGTACATGTACTCAGGATTCACGCTCGAGCATGAAAGTACTCGCTCGAGCGTGGGCCAAATTTCTGGAAAATCCATATTGACCTCCAAGCATGAAACTCAACCTTTAAGCCTTCAAAACTCGTTTTTCTGGGCCAATATTTGAGAAAACACAAAATACCTCATAAAACAACATGTATTAAAAATCATTTCAAGAAATCATGGCCCAAGAGCAACCCAAATTGTGCAAAATCAACATGAACTCTTAGAACATGCCATTACTACAACATGCAAGAATCTCACTGAATCCAAACCCTCCAAAACATGATCAAACTTGATAATTTGATGGACAACAAGACGAATGACCATAATGTGAGTGAAAACAACACATGCATGGAAGAAATCTTAGAATTCAAACTCAAAGCATGGAAATTTATGCATGCATGCATGATATAGACTTCAATTCAACATTTTAAGCCATGAATTTAAACTCTAATCTTCAATTTTACCATGGGCCATGCAAGGTATAACTTGAATGCACAATCAAGAAGATGATTCTCCTACCTTAGGTCTTGAATTCCAAGCCTAGAAGCTCAAATATGCAAACTACTCTTCAATTCTTCCAATTCTCCAAGGAATTTTGTTAAAACCAAAATTTCTCCTATCTCTAACTCTCTCCCACGGTTTGGTCAAGAAATGGATGATAGAATGATGCACAATAAGTTCCAAACAAGGCTCTTAGAAGTGGCCCACTAAGTGGCAATTAGGTAATTAACTTGAACTAATGTAATTTAGCATTATATAATCTAAACTAATCATACCAAATCAAATTTCACTTAAATTTATCATAAAATCACATAAATTCTAATTAGTGTAAAACATTAATCAATTTCTGAATCGGCCACCGATAAGGCTTTCAATTCGCAGTTCAAAGTCAAAACATGAACAGATCATTTTATGGCAAACAGATAAAAACACAAAGATAATGCAATACATATGCAACTTAATTCCGGATTCCTTCTAAATTACTGTTAGGCATAAATAATCATGGTTTAGCACTAATCGGAGGTCGGGGTTGTTACATTAGAATATCATCAATAAATACAATAACAAACTCATCAAGAAATTGGTTGAACACCCTATTTATTAGGTCCATGAAGGAATAGGTGCATTGGTTACCCCAAACAGCATTACCAAAATTCATAGTGCCCATATCTAGTTTGGGATACAGTTTTCTCTATGTCATCTACCTTCACTTTTAACTGGTGATACCCGGACATAAGGTCAATTTTAGAAAGTACTTGGGCTCCCTAGAGTTGATCAAACAAATCATCTATTTGGGGCAATGGATATTTATTTTTCACAGTTACTTTGTTCAACTCTCAATAATCTATACATAGCCTCAAAGTCTCATCTTTCTTCTTAACAAACAACACTGAAGCACCCCATGATGAACTGCTTGGCCTAATAAATTTCTTGTCTAATAACTCCTGAAGTTGGACTTTCAATTCTTTCAGTTTGGTGTTGACGTTCGGAATGGAGTTTTGGAGATTAGTTGTTTTCCAGGTACTACATCAATGGTAAGTTCAATTTCTCTATCAACTAAGTCATTGGGTAGTTCATTTGGAAACACTTCAGAAAATTCATTGACTATCGGAATATTTCCCACATTAGTACTATCTAGAGTCACAGTCAAGACACAACACAAGTAACCTCTACATCCCTTTCTAAGTAGTTTTTTGGCTTTCATAGAATAGATCAAATACGAGGGAGGAGCTACACCATTTCCACAAAACACAAATTTAGGTAACCCCAATGGCCGAAACACAACAGATTTAGCAACCCAATCGATCGTAGCATGATACTTAGTCAACCAATTCATCCCCAAAATAACATCAAAATGATCTAATCCCAATGGTATCAAATTAAAATATAATAGCACATCACCAATCATAACATCACATGTAGGATACACATAAACGAACATCATAGAACCCCCTGATAGTGTAGATATAGATAACACATAATTCATAGGTGCTAATGGTCTAGTCAACTTTCGAGAGAAACTATGTGGCACAAATGAATGTATAGATCCAGATTCTATCAACACATATACATTTTGGGTATAGATAGAAACTATACCTGATACCACAGATTCGGTGTTCTGAACGTCTCCCGGTACAAGTGCAAAAACTCGGTCTTGCCTTAATGTTTTCCTTTTAGAGTTAGTTCTTGTATTAGGTTTGGGTCCCTCAGCTGATCCAGCTGAACTTGTTGCTAAGCGGTTGGCATTTTCAGCTATGAGTGGACAATCTTGCCACACTTGAAGTAGGCACTTGTAGTACGAAAACACACACCCTTATGTCTCCTTCCACATTCAGAACATGCAGGTGCAAATCCACTACTTTGACTTGAACTACTAGTCGATCCCATATTTTGCTTCTTATTTATCGAGAATGATTGGCCCTTTCTAAAATTAAACCCGGATCTTTTGCTTCTTCATTTGGTTGTTGGAGCTTTGATCTGTTTCATTGCTGCTTAGTTAGCTTCAGTTATTAAAGCGTGGTCAAGCACATCCACATACTCAAGCAATTTTAACGCACCGACTCGATCAAACACATCTAGGTTGAGGCCCTCTTCGAACTTCCTGGCTTTTTTGTAATCCGTATCCACCATATGAGGAGCAAATCGAGCTAACTCAGTAAACTTAGCTTCATACTCGGCTACAGACATATTGTTTTGTTTCAATTGCTCAAACTCTGACACTTTACAATCTTCGAAGCACTGAGGGAAGTATTTTTCATAAATGATCTCTTTAAATTGATTCCATGTCATAGCTCCATTATTATCTCTGATCAACATCCACCAACATAGGGCTTCTTCTTTTAAAGTATATGTGGCTAGTAACACTTTCTGCGTTTCAGTGCATGGAAAGCCTTCAAACAATTTTTCAGTCTCTAACATCCATATCTCGGCCTTTATTGGCTCAATACCCCCAGAAAAGTCAATGGCTTCATTTTGTTGAACTTCAGAGTTGATGAGATAATATTGTTGTTCATCAGCTCAAACTGTACCGAAGAAGGCGGGGGAGGCAAAAGTTGTTGTCTTTGTTATTGTCTCATCGATTCTGTTAAAGCTTCTAACATTCATTCCATTCGGTCCATCCGTGCATTAGAAGATTCAATCACATCATCACTTCTTGTTCTTTCCATTGCTATAGGTAAAGAGAGCACTAATAAACATAAGCCAATAATCTTTATAGTTTCACAATGTTCGGTTTCAGGTCATTACATTCCAAATTCATATGTTCATATATTAAGTTCACATGTTCATAGTAATTAACACACACACTCACACATGCTGATGAAATGTCCCTAATTCTTTTTTATAACATCCTATAGCTCTTATGGACTTATGTGTGCAGTATAACAAGTGCTCTGATGCCACTCAGTCACGACCCATACCTGCCCCTATAGGTTTAGCATCGTAATTGGATAGTAATCCTGGGATTACAAAAGGCCTTTGAACGAATTAGTACAATTAAGGGGCTAGCGGAAGCAATTATTACAAATGCAGTGTCCATACAATTGTGTAAACGTATATAGGACAGAATATTTCAAGCTTATATTTACATATATGGCGTTAACTTATATATAGATAAACCAAAATGGGTCTTAGCCCAATACACAAACAGTATAGAAACTTGTTTAGACAAAACAAACTAAAACAAAAGTCTTAAACATGGTTCACCAAACTTGACCACTTCTTAATTCGGGAACCTCCTCAGGAGGCACGATGATTGGCTTGACAAAACAGAACTCCAGGCTAGCAACTTAGGCCTGGTCCCACGCCTAATCACCTACATACATAAATAATACAGTGAGCTGGAGCCCAGTGAATAACAATAGAGTAAAGGGTTTATGAATGATGTCCATCACATATTTAGAAATTAGGGTTCATATCAGAAATAGATTCAAATTCATATACTTGTACAGATTTCATAAACAATTACATGTGATAAATCCATTAGCTAATAGATCAGATTGGTCATACAGACCCACTCACATAGTCGGTACCAACAACCATAAAGGTCAACATCTTTCTGTACATATAGCCATGGTATTGTTACCCCGAGGCAAGTGCTGTGAACATAGGCCTTGGTATTGTTACCCCCAGACAAGGGCCACATGAACATAAGCCACGGTATTATTTCCCCCGGCTGAGGGCCATATGTATATTGGCTACGATATTATTACCCCCGAGCAAAGGCCACGTGAACTAAGGATGCCACAAATATATTTAAAAAAAATGGATATTCATTCATGTTTCATAAAATAGCATTTTAGAAAACATATCATATCATTTCAGTTAGAAACTACTTATAATCAAGCATAACTTTACAGAGTTGTTACTCACATATTGCTCCAGAGGCTGAATAGATCACTTGGACAAAACAGATCGATTAGGTGGGTGTTAACATGTGACCTACACAAACACGTGACGATACACATTAGACACACGTCACAAAGGTGTTTAACTTATCATTCTCTTTCCTTAGCATGTGTTTCTACTCTTATTATCATTAATATAGCTTAAACATGGTCTAGGAATGTCTAGGATGCAATGAGAATGCAAAACTATACTTTTAAAACACTTAGCCAAATTTTGAAAAATAGGGCAGTTCGCTCAAGCAAAGCTTTGGTCGCTCGAGTGGTCTGTAAAGTTTGTAAAAGTACTGGGAGCTCTCATTTTACACTTGAGCTAATTTTTGGTTGCTCGAGCCAAGTTTGAAAACAAAGGGTGGTCGCTCGAGCGCAACTTTGGTCACTCGAGCCAACCTCTAAACTCTGTAAAACTTCTGAGAGCTCAAATTTTACGCTTGAGCGATGCGACCAAATTCTGAAATTTCCAAATTCGTTTTTCAAGTTCAAAACCCAACTTTAACTCATCAAAACTCATTCTTTTGGGCTAAAAGTGTAGAAAAACATGTAGAAATTTATGGAAAAACATGGAATAAAGCTCAATTCACAAAATCAAGCCCCAAAAGCATGCCAATTCTTCAAAATTAAGTTACAACTTTGTATGTATAGAAGATGCATGTATTGATTCAAGTTCTTAACTTCTAAAACATGATCTATTGATGTAAAATGGTATGAAACTTGATAAATTTCCAAAATCAAGCTAGAATGACTACATGCATGTGAGAATTCTTGAAAATTAAGCTCAAAATGTAAGGAAAAATGCATGCATGCATGCATGGTATGACTTAAATTCCTTCATTTCTGGCTCAATTCTTATACTTGATCACAAGGTCTTCTTAAATTCTCTTCATTAATTAGATACAAAGATTAGGAGTCAATTACTCACCTAAGGTCTTCAATTGAGTTTTAATCAACAAATTCTTGAGCTCCTACAAGCCAAACCTTCAATTTCCAAGCTGGAATGCCAAATTCCAAACCTTTTTCACTCACTCTCTCCCTTCACATGTTTTTGAGACCAAGGATGATGAGAAGAAAATGTTTGTCTCAACTTAAGGGGTCTATTTATAGGTCTAATTAAGTTAGCTTAATTAAGTTGGATTAATTCTAATAAATCTTACTTATATTTAATTAAATCTAATTATTTGATTCTGAATCGAATTCTAATTAAACTCATCATAAAATTTTAAGAATTCTAAATAACACATAGACTTAGTCAATTTTGTGTTCGGATGCCGATAATGCCTTAAATTCGCGTACCAAAACAGAATTTTAAACATATATTCCTATAGACAAATATAAATATAATTAACACATAACACATGCAATTAACTTAGGATTTCATCTTAATTACTTGTCAGACATTCTTAATTAAGGATTATTAACTAATCACAGTTCGAGGTTGTTACATCTACCGAGTCACTTGTGCGCATAAATATAAAGTGTGCTGACTTGGTTAACCGATCGACTATCACCCACACGGCATCATTACCCCATTGAGTCCTCAAAAGACCCACAACAAAATCCATCTTGACATGCTCTCACTTCCACTCGGCTATAGGTAAGGGTTGCAACAACCCCACTGGCCTCTGATGCTCGACTTTCACTTGCTGACAAGTAAAACACCTCGATACAAACAAGGCTATGTCTCTCTTCATCCCCCTCCACCAAAACTAGCGGCTAAAGTCGTGATACATTTTTGTGCCTTCCAGGTGTACCACAAGGCGCAAATGGTAAAACTCTTAGAGTACCTCTTCTCTACAAGACTCCAATACAAAAAGACGGTCAAGATATCTAATACTCAAGTCAGAATACACGTTCAAGCCTTTCTCTACCTTCCCACTAGATATCTTCTCTCGGATGGACTCTATCTCATGATCACCTCGTTGTGCTTCTATAACTCGGTTCACAAGCGTAGGTTGTGCAATCATAGTAAATAAGGTTGCCGACTCAACGGACTCACCGAGATGCAAGTCAAACTTGCCAATAGCACCCAACATCTCCTATTTTCGGATGGCAGTACTAGCTACACTGCTAATAGACTTCCTACTTAAAGCATTGGCCACTATATTGGCCTTCCCCAGATGATAGTGCAACTCAAAGTCGTAATCCTCTATAAACTCCATCAATCTTCTCTACCTTAGATTCAAATCCTTCTGTGAGAACAGATACTTCAAACTCTTGTGATTGAAGAATACCTCAAACCTCTCACCATATAGATAATGCCTCAAGATCTTCAAGGAAAAAATCACTGTTGCTAGTTTTAAGTCGTGTGTAGGATAGTTTATCTCGTGTGTTTTCAATTGACGTGAGCCATATGCTACTACTTTCTCCTCTTGCATGAAAACACAACCTAAACCTTCTTGAGAGGCATCACAATACATTGAATAGCCCAAACTTCTCTCTGAAATAATTAACACTGAAGCAGTGGTAAGTCTAACCTTAAGCTTTAAGCAACTCAAGCACAATCCGCAAGCGTTCCTCGTGCTCCTCCTCAGAGAGTGAGTAAATCAAGATGTCATCAACAAAGACAATCACAAAACGATCTAAGAACTCATGGAAGATTAGGTTCATCAAATCCATAAACAAGGCCGGTGCATTCATTAGCCCAAAAGGCATCACTAGGAACTCATAATGGCTATATTACGTACAAAATGTCGTCTTTTGGATATCCTCCTCTTTCACTCTCAACTAGTGATAACCCGATCTCAAGTCTATCTTAGAAAAGCAACAAGATCCCTTCAACTAGTTAAACAAGTCATCTATATGAGGTAATGGGTACTTGTTCTTAACAGTTACTCGGTTCAACTACCGGTAATCAATACAAAGTCACAATGTGCCATCCTTCTTCTTGGCAATGAGAGTCGGTGTTCCCCAAGGCGAACTACTAGGGCAGATAAAACCCTTATTTAGTAATTCTTGGAATTGAATCTTCAACTCACTTAACTCGGCAGGTGCAAATCTATACGGTGCTATGGAAATCGGTGTCGTGCTAGGCACTAAATCAATTGAGAACTCAATTTCACGATGAGGTGGTATACTAGTGAGATCCTTGGGAAAGACGTTTGGGTATTTACAAACTACCCTCAACAACTCTACTCGGACCACACCACTCTCAACACCCAAGTAAGCTCACCCCGACCACGCGAATCACACACGGGCAACAAGGCTCTATCAACTTAGTCTCTCAGGAAATAAAAACAATCACCACTCGAAGTGCACACTGTGACTTTCTAATGGTAACAGTCTATAATGGCCTAATAGGATAATAACCAATCCATGCTCAAAATGACTCAATCAACACAAAAGCAAAAGGAATTCGGTGACCGAAAACCTCTATCTCACAACTCCGACACC